AAGAATAGATTTTGGTTTCATTCAATGTCACAGCACTCTTTACATCCATGGACCAGGAACTAGTGAAAGAATTTATGGCAGCACTAGTACACAATATGCCCAGCTTAAACAAATGCACTAAGATTTAAATATCCAGAATCATGGACCTTATCAATCTCTGTCTCACTACCTATTTTCAATTTGATGGGCAAATACACTATCAAATCAGAGGAACATGCATGAAATCACCAAACTCAGGAATCATAGCAGAGACTTCATTTGAAGCTGACCATTTTTGATCTTCCTTGCCCTTTTCTCCACCTTTTCTGATGCTATTTAAAAGATGTTCCATTCCAATTTCTTTTTTATTTTTATCTACCTCTTTTATCCAAGTAGCATTCTTGTTAAATTTCTTTTGCGTTGTCCCATAGCTGTGCCCAGAATGACACTGTTTCTTCTTTGTCAGGTGTAGACTGGTAAACAGTAAACTCTCCATTGATAGATGGGAGAAACATTTCTGATTTTACTGAAAATGGAGATTCTGTTATAGTGTGCAATTCAATCATCATATCTGCTGATCTTCTTGGCTATAGCTGTTATTTGTTGCTTTATTATTTCCAATGCTTCCTTAATCTTACTTGTTTCTAGGTAATTTTTCTTGAACAGGTATTCTTTGATCTTTTGTACTTCAGCTTTCCCCCCCCCCCTTTCATCTCTTCTAGCTTGCTTGCATCTGGTCTTAACTTGCTGATCATAATTTCCAGCCTGATCTTCCATTCTGATGATGCACTGTTTGGCTTTTTTGTTTGTTAATTTTGCATCCCAGTATTCAGTTATAACTGCAGCTGTGCTGTACACTGACTTGTAACCATTTGTTTAGTTACTGTTTGAAGTTACAACAGCAGTGAAAAAAGTGGCTTATGGTCATTTTTCACACTTATGACCATTATAGGATCTCCATGGTCACATGATCAAAATTTGGCTGTTGGGCAACTGGCATGTATTTATGATGGATGCAGTGTCTCACCTTTTGCGACCTTCTGACAAGCAAAATCAATGGGGAAATCAGATTCACTTTACTAACTTAACAACTGCAGTGATTCACTTAACAACTGTGGCAAGAAAGGTCATAAAATGGGGCTAAGACTCACTTAACATAGCAACAGAAATTTTGGACTTAATTGTGGTTGTAAGTTGAGGTTTATCTGTAGTTAGTTTGTTTCTTGCAATGAGCTGGTGCTTATATTTGATATTATAGTATTGACATCTTTTTATACTTGTGCTAGCTGTTTCTTTGGAAGAAGCTTCAATGCAGGCAACTTTATTCTGTTGTTTTTGTGCTATATTACATGCTCAAACATTCTTTGTTTCAGTTCTTTTACTTTTTTAGTTAGGGAACTTTGTTCTCTCTAAGGAAAAGGCAGACAAGAGGGTGCCTGGTTTGAGAATGAATAAAATCCAATAGCTATGCTGCTGCTGACTACTTATGCCTTGCCTCTACAGTCTGAATTATTTCTGGCAAGATTTTTATTTCTTTGCTCTGGGTGGACCTTTGAATTCTTTATTTCACATTATAAATCAACAGATGATTACACAAACTGATTATAAACAACAACATAACACAATCACCAAAATGATTTGCTGGAATATTTGTAAAAAAATTGTCATGTGCCAATAATGAAAAATCGGAGGGAATTTAGAGTTGAAAAAGTAGTTAAAAATGAGGAGTTAAAATATTGTGGAATTTTCAAATACAAATTGATAAAGTCTTGACTCATAACACACCCAATTTAACTATAGTTGAATTATAGTCTAACTAATTAATTCTATTAATGTATTCTCAGCAAATCTAAGATGGTTTATTTTAAAATAAACTATTTGGGAGAAAAAAATGAATCTTTTCAAGAAACTGTCATGATTGCAACCAGAAATGCAAGCTTCATAGAGAGTAACTATAAAGACGCAATTGCCAATAGGCTGAAGCAGCCTAGAGAAGAAGTAAATTAATACCACAGAGAAGCTATACCAAAGGTTAACTGAGCCTGATCGAAACAAGCTGAATGAATGAATTTGCCCAGTAGAGTATACTTTTTAAGCTAGAGGTGAAAAAAGAAATTCCTGAATAAAAACATGAAAGGAAGAAATAGCTGTCAAATAAACCTTTAAGGAAGACAGAGTACTTTTTTTTTTCAAATCAGCAGGAATAAGAGGACCTCTTGTAGAGAACAGGTACTCAGATTCAAAATTTGGAAGAGGTTATTAAAAGTGTTCATCTTATAATATGAACATAATGTTAACAGCTTTCTAGATGGATAAAGCACTTCCTGAACTATTAGAGAAATCTTTATCAAATTCCTCAGGTGATCAGTAGGAGTTTGTCTATCTCCAGATGCAATAGACTGAGACAGCAGATCTACTCTTGTTATCATGACAAGCAATGAAACTATCCAAGGAAGAAATGAATCAAATTTATGAACTGTAGCTGCCACAGCACCAAGTAGATGGCAGATATTATTGCAAGAATTCTTGTAATGAAATAAATTGGTGGGAACAAACAGAACAATACAGGTAGTATACTGTTCATCTATGACAAATTGAGGCTATCATGGCACTGAATGAATGGTGATTACAATCAGTTCTTGGAGTTCTACTCGTCCCAGTACTTCCATGGGCAGGTAATCACGATCTGGATGCTTGGCAACTGGTTTGCACTTACAATGGGCTGCAGACCCCAGTGTCACATGATAGCTATTTGCAACTTTCCTGCTGGCTTCCCCAGAAAATCAATGCAGAAGCTAAGAAGGAAAGTGGTAAGTTGCTGACTAAGTCATCACCATCTATGTATTTCCCCCCAGCCCCACTGTATTATACATCCCCATGCATCCCCCCCATGTTGCATCTTCAAACACTCTCCAACCCATGTCACTTCTCTGATGCACTCCCACATACCCTCCCCATATGGTTTCTCTTATGTACCTCCTCACAAATCCTCACTATGCTTCTCCCTTATTCCCCTGCACATTTGACAGCAGCTACCTAAATGCTTGCCAGCCTGGGACTCTCACCTTCCTGCCAACTTCTCCATTGACTTTGATTGTGGGAAGACAGCAGGAAGTTGCCTCACCATGGTATTCAGTTATCAATGGCAACTGAGACTGCAAGGATTGCCATCGCTATGAAAATATTGCTTGGTGATAGAAATTCCGGTCCCAATTGCTGTTGTTAAGTCAAGGACTAACTGTATACATAACCATCTGCAAACAAATGAATAACCATGCAGCCCCAGATATATTACCGATCAACTGCCATATTGTTCACTAACAATTTCTATAGACTGAAGAAGTCTACCTGAGAAGTTTCCATCAAGAGGAAGTACATCAAAATATCTACATCTTTTGAGCACTCACTCGTGTGTGCAAATCAATACTAGATTCAATTTATTGGTTAAAGTACTAGGAGCTAATTTAACAGAGATATTATCAGGATATCTTAAGGCTGATTTAGCCAGCTTTTCTGGAGAATGGAGCTGACTGACAGACTCAAACTGCTACAGCAGGAAGCTACAGTAGGAAGCTTAGAATTACTAGTCTAATAAGAATTTCAGGGAGCCCCATAAAAAAGAGTTTGAGTAATGTTCCAAGATACTGGGAAGTTTAAGAAAGTCCCAATACTTACAAGGAGCATTGCATATGTATGTTCAGAGGTAAGAAAATATATCTGTGCATGTACTGAAGACACAAATTGTTATTACTGTTGCTGTTTTTTATTTTGGTCAACTCAAGACAGCAAACGTATCTAATACTCTTGCCTTTTTTCCTCAGCAAGACCTAGAAGTTGGCTGCAATACATACTTAACATGAACCAGTTATCTCACAGGTTTTTGGAAAGGAAAATGCTATTCTTCCGATTACAATCATATCTTCTTCTCCTACTATGTATCCAGATAATCTACACTGACTCACCTACCTTCCCTAGATTGTTTCATAAATGGAACTCTGTGTAAAGTTATTTGGATTGGGATCATTTCTAAAATTAAACAGATCTATTAACCTGATAGCACTGTGTTAAGCATTTCATATATCACAGTCTGGTTTGGAGGCATCACTGCTTCAGACAGGAAGGCGGTGCAGAGAGTGGTGAGACTGGCCGAAAAGATAATTGGCAGTTCGCTCCCTCCCATCCAGGACATAGCACAGAAGCGCTGCTTGAGCAGGGTCCGTAAGATTATCTGGGACACTACACATCCTCTTCACGACCTGTTTTCCTTGTTATCTTCTGGGAGGAGGCTTCGTGGTATCCGAAGCAGAACATCCAGATTCAGCCAGAGTTTCATTCCATACAGCATTAACCTTGCAAACTCTCAAGCTTCCTCCTTCCATTATATATTCAAGATGGACAATATTTAATATTTATTGCTACGTATGTGTAGGGATGTGGGTCTATACATATGTTGTTCATAGTATGTTTAGGTGTATGTCATGTATGTGTTTCACTTTGAGAGCGGGCAACTAAATTTCATTTTTGATGTGTGCCACTGTGCCCACAGTATAAAAATGACAATAAAGGTTATCTTATCTTATCTTAACACATCATTTAAATGATGAGTAATTCATGCTATATTGAGAAAGCCCATATTGCATTTAAAAACTATCAAATTAATGAAATGTATAAGCAATACATGAATGTGTGTTTCAAAACAGAAGTTTGTTATTTTTACATCTAGATATGCCAGAAAAATCACAATGAAGAACAACTTTTAGTTTATAATTAAGGCAATCATCAATCCAAAGATTATAGCCCTTTTTATTTTATCTCCACATCAAAAAATTTAAAAAATTAAAATCCCTTGAAACATAAGATAAATGAAAATGTAAGTGCTTCACACATAATAACAGTAAGCTGACCCTCTGGGAAATAGTTGGCTTTCTCAATTCAAGTGATTCAAAGCTCATTCAGAACTGTTCATTTAGAATGCAGATATCAAAGTTGATGCAAATATTCAAGAGAAAATTAGAGCTTACCAGATGTTCTAATCCAGTTTTGATGTTTCCGGCATCTCTGAAATAGAAGAACAAAAATTCTAAACAATTATTAATCATTGGTATACAATTATTCATGTTGAACTTCAAAAATTATAATGATCTGTCCTTTTGTTTAGTTTGTTTTAATATCTGAAGCTATATAATTGAATAAAATCTAAATGCATCCTCTAGTATAATTCCAAAATGTCTTTACCATAAATCTAAAACATAAAATGAATATGAATATATAACAGAATAAGAATAAGTGAATGCATATGATTGCTGATAGTTGCTAAATTTTAAATCACTTTATTAAAACCAGAATGTATATACCATTTATAAAAAGAAATGTTTTCAATTATGTGCAAAGCTCAAATTCTCCAACTGAGAAATATTCAACTGTTTATTCTCCCAGGAATAAGAAAATTGTTTCTATGTAAAAAAGTATGATATTAACATCTAAACAAAGTTGACTGATAGCACATGATTAAAAAAGTCAGCTGATTCATCTAACTTCAGAATGATGCGGATTTAGGAGAAACAATATACAGTACACAACAAACAAAAATAAAAAGTTGTAGTCAATTTGCTCAATATTCTTTGATCAATTCATAGGGCACTAAATCTATTGAGAAAGAAGATGATGACGACTCAGATTTTGTGTCAGTAGATCCAACATAAATCATTGATAACTTAAATCACAGCTAACTTGCATCACTGTTTCATATCTATCTCTAATCATCCTGCAAATCAGCAATTTCTTCAGGATCATAATGCCCATGAATAAATTTATAACTCAAAACTCATATACTGCCAGAAATCCTTGCTTTTTATAATAAGCAAAAATTCATTTGTATTTCTGGCAATAAAAAATACACTTGTGATAAACCAGTGCTTTTATTTCTCTATCATCACATGCATTAAACATTTTAACAATTCAATTAAGCCAGGGGCCAAATTATTTTAGAATTTAAATTTATTTTCCATGCAATGAAAATAGACTTCAACCAATCTTTTATTTCTTATTTTTTTATTGGTTTGTGGTTTTTCAAACAGAATATTATCAGATTGCAAATTTTTCTATATTATTTCCTTACTATTCAGATTTTTAAAAAATATGAATTACATTCATCTTTGTATTTTTTTCTAATAAACAAACTACAGTCTAGGTTATTTAATATAAGCCTTTCTTAAAGGTGCATTATAAAATAAAGGAAATTCAGAAATTATATATTGGTTTGACCTTAGTGCAGGAAAGGAGGCTGGTTAAAAAAAAATGTTTATTTTTTTTCACTTTTCAACAGGTGATTTTATGGAACTGTGAAATAATAAAACAAGACTATGCGCAAAACATATCCTACTTTTAATCAAAATGATATTCTATAAGTTAGAGAAAAAGAATATTTTCCTGGACTGGAAATTAGACTACTAACCAACTGCCTGTAGGCATTAATGTGGTAAAACACACATTGTGATACTGTTAATGCAAACTCTGCCCCTTTCATACTTGTGTGTGATATTAAACCTAGTACTGATGATGTTATCTAGTTGGGTAATGAAACATCTGCAAGAAAACAACCAGGTTCAGCGAGCACCAAGGACTCCTCATTTCAACCCTGAGCTACAAATATTTTCTTCTATTGGTACCAATCAACCGTGTAAGAACTCAGTCACGATAAGGAAGAAGCTCTCCAAAGAGATTTTCCTGACACTTTTTATAATCTTTTCCAAATTTTTATGAATGTTATAATTAAATTTTTGACATTCAGAATCATTAGATCAGTTTTAAAACTTTAAAACTTACATTTTTCTGTGGTTTATAATATTGTATTTCATATTTTTATTGTAATCTATCCAGAGCATTACATGGCCAATATAAATATACTAATTGAATCAATAACTGACCTAAAGTGACTTACCAGATGCTCAGCTGGTTTGATGGATCTCTGTCTCTAAGTGATAATTTGGTCTACACATGTATCAAGTAAATAAGTTTTGGATGCAGTCAAAGGACAATTCTGAGTAAAAGCTATAAAAATGAAGAATTTCTATATAAAAGTTGTATTATGGTAGGAAGAATTTCCAGAGATAGCATTGAAATATTTATTTTACTTTGCTTGTAAAATGGTGAGCAACTAGGTGTTGACAAAGTATTCATGGAGTTATAGCCACAATAAATTATCATAGCAAAATTCTTGCATTTGGGTATTTTCAATGTTCACATTACTAATAACAATTATAAAACTAATTATATACAACATCTCTAAATATTAATTGCTTAAACCACTGAATGCATTTTGAAAATCTATTTTCAATCATTTCCATATATATCTTACTCATATTTTTTCAGATTTGAAATGTGCTAAACATCTATTCCTGTTAACCTATGTTTAAAAAAAATAATCCCGCACAGAAAAAAATAGTCTCATGAAACATGTAGAATAATAATCAAAATTTGCTATACCACATCATACATTATTAAAAGAAAACTGAAATCCTCTATTTATATTGGAGCTGAAGGTCATAATGAACTTAATTGCTAGGAAGCAGAACCCAGGTCACTGACACACAAAGCTTCTTGCTAATGGTATCAAATTTGTTCTCTTTAGTGGTCTGTCTCCTATGCTGTGCTTGTCACAACTTCATCAATATTTGCACAACTGTTTCTGCTCTGTGCTGAAAGCAGACTTAATTCAATTATAGATCTTAAAACTGATAAAATGGTCCTGAAGTGGAAACGGGAAAGATATTATTGGCAAATGAATAAAGATCTGTATTGAACTAACACACGAGAGTATAGAAGATTTAAAAAAAAAATCATTCCCTGTCTTAAGTCTTCTGGGAACAGTGAGTTTTCCTTTCCCTCATGCAGCACATTGATTTCTGAATTAGACTGCAATATTAAATAATTAATATACTTGCCATGATTGATGTTTTGCATTAGTTGAATATTAGGTTATCAATCAAAATCCACTTGGTTTAATGTAATAATATTGAAAAAGTGTCACTGTCTGTTCATCCAATTTGTAGTTGAAGCAGCACAGATAGTAATATTGGAATAACAGAAGGTTCTGAGGCAGGAAGTGCTCTAGATGAACATACTGTATATAAGGCCAACATTAGGAAACTAACAGTGACTTTGGGCCAGTTATTCTCTCTCAGCCCAACTCACTTCAAAGGGTCATTGTTGAGGGTATTACACTGAGGAAAGAGTATTGTTTGCTGCGTTGAGTTTATAAAAAATAATACAGGGGGATTAAAAATGTAAAAAAAAATCTATATCTAACTATTTCATGGCACTCATCATTTTCAGTACAATTTTCTTTCAACTCTGAGATTTATCATGCAGTAAGATCTTGTCATACGGGTGATCCTTACTTAATGACTCTTCACTTAGCAACTGTCCCAAGTTACAACTGACCCAAAAAAGATATTTACAGCCCAGATTCGAAGCTCTGATGGCTGCCCCCCCAATAGTAATTTATTATTTTATTTAAAATACAATTAAATGAAAGAATTAACTCAGTAATAATAAATATAAGGAAAAAAGGACTCCATTTGCCAAAACTGGGGTTATACATAATAAATAATTTATGTCAATAAAATAATCATTATTATCCAAGAACAAATAAAAATATTTTCTGCTTCTGATGAAGTAGCACAGGTAGTCCTTGCTTAATGACCATTCATTAAGTAACCATTCAAAGTTATAATAGTGCTGAACGAATGGCAGTTATGACTGGTCCTTGAAGTTATGGCTATTGCAATGCTCCCATGGTCATGTGACCAAGTTCTTGAAGTTTAGCAGCCCACCCACACTTTTGACGACAACATGTGTTTCAACTCTCCCACCTGCCTATCTCTCCCATCTCTGCCCTTCTGGCCATCCTGCATTCCACCACCTCCATACCTCTAACTCCCTGCTGACCTTCACAGTCTTCTTCCTTCTGCTGCTGCTGAGATGTGTCTGGCCAAGGCAGCTGCTGCCCAATATGAAGCCTTGGGGGCAGGGGGGGAGGAAGCAGAGGTGAGCGCAGCAGGATTGCAGACCCTTGTCTCCTGAAGAAGTTTGCCGAGTCAACCAGCTGCATTATATATCATTTCTGAAATATTTAAATTCTATGCTAATTTCATTGTTTCTATCTTAATTTTCTATTCTTTTTAATTGGGAAACCTATTAGGATATATATACCTTTCTGTGACAAGCTACCATTGGGGAAGGTGCTTGTGAGTGCACGAGTAAGGAAATGTCCCTGAAACGATGACCCAACAGGTCATGTGTTGTCTATTATGCTCTAAAGTTCAAGATTCTTTTCAAATTTATAATGAAACTAAGTAAATTTAATAGATTTTTGAAATTTTCAAATGGGTGTATATAGGCAATCCTTGCTTAACAACATAAATTTGGACTGGAATTTCCCTTGCTAAGCAATGCAGTCGTAAAGCACAATGTTACATGACTGCATTGCTTAGTGACAAATTATGAATAGGCCTATATCTATATGGAGGTATCAGAAGCTATGAAAATATTAAAACTGGCAAGGCACCAGGACCGGATGGAATAACTGGTTCTTATTATAAATGTTTTAAAGATTTACTTTTGCAAAAACTTCAGAAAATGACGAGTTCTGTTTTGCAAGGAGATGCAATGTCAGAATCTTGGGAAAAGAACAATATTGCATTGTTACTAAAGTGAAGACAGGATCTAACTTATACTGTAAATTATAGACCAATTTCTTTATTGAACAATGATTATAAGTTGGCATCATTAATTTTGGCAGGTACACTAAAAGTTTTTACAAGAATTATTCATGAAGATCAATGTGGATTTTTATATAAAGACAATTAAAAATAATGTCAGAACTGTATTGAATATAATAGAATACTTACAACATAATGGTAAACAAACCACATTAATTTTTTTTAGATGCTGACAAAGCTTTTGACAATTTGAACTGGTCCTTGTTTAAAGTTCTGGAAAATATGGATTTTGGTGAGAATTTTCTTCACGGAATCAAGTCAATATACGCATCTTTA